AATGAATAAGTATAAGAGATAAAGTATACTGGGATCTTATATTTAGAACCAAAATAAAAGTCAAACAAGATCTTATATTAAGGACCGGAGGTAGTATAACACTTGAGAATAATAACTTCTTTTGTTTGTTTGTTTAGTTATGGTTTAAAAACTTAAGTCTAGTGTTAAACAACATGAAATACTCCTTCTATCCTTAATAGAAGACCTAATTATTTAGATGATTTTAGTTCTAAATATTTCTCATATTTATTAATTTTTTCTAAATTATTCTTATGAATACTCCTTCAACTATAATCAAGTAAAAGAGAGAAGGAGGATGTTAAAGAAAATGATTATAGTGTTTTAGGAAAAACATGTCATATTTCTTAAAATTAACTAACTTACCCAACTTCCTTCATCTAATCAAATAAGTTAAATATGTCTTATATTAAGAATAAGGGGAGTATTATAATTTAAAACATGCAGAACAATAAAACGGTCTTTTTCTGGCGTCATATCCATAGTTATCGCATCATAGTTAGAACTTAGAAACTCCAACTCTGTATTAAGGTCACAATTGATATCATGATGAGCTTGAGACGCGTTTTCCTGCACTCGCCTAGCTTTTGGGATTGCCTTGACTATTCTGAAGCATACCTGAGGTCTGATGATAACATGATAACCAGAAAAGGCACAAGATAGAAAGATTTTGTAGAAGCCATTTTGAAAAATTACTGGGCACAATTGGTATATTAATAACGATGTTGCAAAGAGTTATGTGTGGGCTATTTGTACTTTGTTTAGAACTTCTAATTAGTCAGTTTATCACAATTTTTGTTTGCTTGCTTTAGATTTCAGCAAATTTCATGGTTTTCTTATAAGTGTTAACCAGATTTAAAATTAAGAAACTACAATATCTAAATATACATACAATATGAAAGCAACAAAGGCCCCCTATTTAGTATGTTGGGAAGTTTTTTTTTTTTAAAAAAAAAAAATTGAAATGAAAGCAAGAAAGGGAATGAGGAATGTAAGTACTACCTCTAGCCTCTAGGTCTTAGTACTAATACGAGGAGATTAAAGAAATGAAAAGATTATTTAATTATAGTATATATTACATGATTTTTTTTTAAAATACTTATGTGTATCATTAAATTAATATCAGTTTATAAGTTAACCAAATTAGTTTATAAAAAAATAAAAAATAAATATTAAAATAATTTTGACAGTTTTCTTAATCTCTTTAAGTTAGTTAATTGGATCTTATATTAAGGATTGGGGTTAGTAATTAAGAAAGGAAATTAAATTAGGTTTCAAAGGTGCGTGTGGTGTGTCAAGAAAAATCATTGGTATCCTAAAGATAATTTTTGTTTGGCATGACTATTTTAATGATAAAATGCTGAACTTAAGATTCCAAAAGACACTAATACCCTTCTAGTCATCTCTGTAATCAAATACTACCTCTAATTTTTAACACAAGAATCAGTTAACTAATTTGAGTAAATTTAAAAAATTTATTAAGTTAGTTATTTGTAACAAATAGATATTATCTTACGTAGAATACTTTTGCTAATCATGTGTATTAGGTAGAACTATCATGTGATAGAACATTTAACATGCGCAACTATTACAATGACTACTTTAAAAATATAGATACATATAAGAGATAAAATATATTAGAATCTTATATTTAGAACCAAATTAAATATTAAACTAACTTTTATGTTAAGAACTAGAAGCAGTAGATTTGTTTTTTATTAGTGCCATGAGAAGTAAGATCTACCAATGCAAAAAGGAAAACGACATCCTAACAGTACAATTCTGTAAATTGAACGACATCTCGACTTGCCATTCCCATCTGGCTTATTAATGAAGAATAATAAAATTGTTTCATTTGAATATAATTCAGAAGAAATCGGAAATCATTTACATGTCCCAAGAACACTTCAACAGAATCAATTTTGACAACAAGTAACAAATGTATGTTACCAATCTTGGGAGTTCCATGGATTAGACAATATGGAATTCAATTTCAATTCCAATTTTCCATTGTCATGGCTCCAATTCCTGCGTGCCAAACGGGTGCCCAGATGAACCGCATTTCTTATGGGTAGTAGACAACGTGATTTTCTATTATTTTTTTTATAGAAAATGGAAAATTGGGTTAATGTAATGTTTGGTCATTATAATTTGTCTCCATTTTAATTTTGGTCTCTATAATTTTGGTCCTTTTAATTTTAATTATGTGTATTAGAACTATTTTTTTGGCAAAAACTATTACAACTAATAGGGATATTTTACGCAAAACATTATAAATTTAGAAGTAAAATTGATTAAAATCTTATATTTAAGATTAAGTTCAACTAATTAACCAGCTCTTATATTAAGTATTAGAAATAGTATAAAATAATGTGGTTAAGTTTACAATGATAATAATACGCATATAGAAAAGTAACAAGGTAATAGGCTTTAAGAAGAAAACATGCAAGCCCTAGGACTCTTAAAGCCAAAAGGATAAATTTAGAAAACATGTTTTCTCTTCAAAATCCATTTTGAATCAGTAATTTTGATCCTCAAATTTAACTCAAGTTTAGACCAGTAATTTTAATTTTCAAAATGAAGTTAAATTTTAAAAATCATTTTAGAAAACTAAAACTAAAACCAAAATAATATCAAATTTTAAAAAATAAACATGATAGTAGCCCTTTTCAAAAATAATGATTTACACAAAGTTCTTAATTTTTTTGTTTTCTAAACTTAATTTAAAAATCACTCTATGGAGATATTATAAGAACGTAAAAATAAAAAACAATATCAAACAAGGCACAAAGCCCTGACAGAAATAGAAGAAGAGCTTTGAAACAGAGAATTGCGAGAGGCTTTAAACGCAAAAACCTCTCTCCAAAAATAGGCGTATGCCGCTTTATGCAACGAGCACACGGTATTCTTTAGTAAAAGGCGAAAGAATAGTTCGCTCTGTGCCCATTGCACGGCTCCGTGAAATGGAAGTGTACAGAAGGCGCCTTCATATAGCCTCCTATAGCTGGGTCGTCTTTGTAAATTCCCAACGTGGGACTCGCTATTGCCCGGAATGCCATCTCAACTTCTTTCAAGTTTGAATTGCCAACAGTTGTCCATTATACGCAAATTGTTGAGAGAATTAATTTAATATATTTCTCCGGTCCTTAATATAGGACCAAATTATTGAGTTGGTTTTAGTCCTAAATATAAAACCCATTTTTCATATTTATCAGTTTTCTCTAAATTACCCTTATAGATACTTCCTCAACCATAATCAAGTAGAAGAGGAAGATAGGGTATTAAAAAAGATGATTATGATATTTTAAGAAAAACGTGTCATATTTCTTATAATTAATTAACTTACCTAAATTCCTTAATGTAATCAAATTAGTTAAATATGTCTTATATTAAGAACAGGAGGAGTATGTAAATATCATAATGATTAATTTGATTAGTGATTTTTAAAATTCACTAACAACTTTACTCAGAAGCCCAAGCATTATTCATTTAGGATGATGTGCTTTTTTCTTATAAGCATAGATAACGAAGCAATTCTGCATTATCAGGTGTTAAATGTAAGTATTTTTCTTAACGAGAATTTAAACTTTATTTTGTTATGTTATGGGAAACTAATTCTTTCTGCTAAATTCAATTCTCATTCGTAAATGAGTGCTTATTAGTTTTTGTACATCAACACTGGATGGTGGGCTTTTGCATGCATTGCAAGAAATCTTGTATAGCATTGGCAAGTCACTTTATTCACAATTCATAAATAATTCAATATAATATAAATCCAAACAGCGTATCATCCTGGCGCATAACTAAAGTTATTCAATCATGTGAACTTCTTTGTTCAACTATCAACTTTTACACCGAGTTTGGCAAGGCGTTTTAGGAGGAAAAAAATAACTCATAAGTATGATAAGTCAGTTTGTAAATTTAAGAGTTGTTTGTCACAGTTTTTGACTAATCTGACTTGTGGATCAAAAACTGATTTTTTAAGCATAATTGTAAAAAACATATAAAATTTTCTTATGACTTATAGAAAAATAGTTTTTTGAAATTAAAAAATATTTTTTCCTTTGTGTTTATATTGTTCTTTTACTTCTCTCTATATATTCTTTATGCTTCCCAATCAATTTTTGGTTGTTTGTTTTTAATATTCTCTTAAGTGAAAATAATTTTAAATAACTTTTATAATATTTTAAATTTTTAACATTGTTTTTATTTTATATTTACATAAGTTATGCATCTAATTAATTATGTAATATTATTTGGTTCAAAAATTTTCGCATTACTATGATTTCTTATTTAAATATATTTTATTCATTAAATATAACTTTTTCCTATTATAATAATTTAAAATTATTATATTTTGTAAATTCATATTTTTAATCATTTTTTATTATTTAATAAAAATCACATCTATTTTCGTCATTCTACAAACTAAATTTACTTATTTAATCATAACCTAAATAATTTTTTTTATTTTACAAACTGACATTTACAAATGTCAATATAAATATAAATCACATTATCTAATATAACTTTTATCCAAAAGTCAGATTGAAAATAAATTATTTTTTTACTGTTAATTCAAACAGACCCTTAAAAAATTTGCATGTGTTTTGCTGACAGACATAACCATGTTGAATTCTTCAAATGAAACAATTTTCTTCTGGATGAACAATTGGATGCCAAGTGATTATAGTCAGGATGTTGTTGACAGAATTGTCAGTTGTCATTCTAAGTACCAATCAACTTATTTTAAATGATTTTGTATTATATGAGATAAATATGTGATAATTTTATTTTGTAAAATACAAAAGTGATCACTTTTTTGTTTTGTGCCAACAAAAGTGATTACTCATTAGCTCCATAATATGTTACGTATGATTATTTTAGGGTAATCATGTCACATCTGTTAAAATTAAATAATTTAATTAGTTTCTTTAATCTACCCCAATTTAAGTAACTTTTAAATTAAAAGACCAGAGGAATAATTAATAAAAATGTACAATGTATGATAGAGAAAGATGGATAAGATTATATATATCTAACTAAACAGTGGGACAAAAAAGCACTGATATAAAACAGATAGATTTATCCAGAAAGCCCAACAGAAGAAGAGTTCGTGAAATGATAACATAGGGGACAGAGTTCCAAAGAATGAAGGCAGCACCAGCACCAGCACCAGCACCAGCAGTGACCACTATATCGAATACCAATGCATCAATCTCACACAAGTGAGAGCTCACCTGCAGGAATGGATCTCTTGACAAGTTTGTTCCAGGATTCGTTGGTCTCTGCGATGACCTTTAGAGCGTAAGCCTGTTTTATCACAATCAACGTTCATGATGCGATCGGACAGGATGAGGATATAATCATAATAAAAAATACAATGTCCAAAGAAGATGGTCACAGTACAATACTACCACACATGCCACTCTAAATTATCTTTCTTTGGTTTATTACAGACAGAAACCATATCTTGGTCTCCCAAAAATGGTGATTCTCGTTTTGATGCTATCAAGATTAGTCTAGCAAAGTAAAAAGCTGAAAAATTAAGGCTGCTTAGTTGGTCATAAAGCGAGTTCAGAAGCTTCCTCATCTTAGGGCTTCTTAAGGAAGTGAAAATTCCAAGAAAAGGGGCACTTTGCTATCAGGTAAAATTTGGAAGTAGGAGGTTTACACAAAGATTATGAGGAGTGGGAAAAGATCTTAAAAAGAAAGACCTATCTAGTGATCCTTTCCTCAGCAAGCCTGAGGTAAATTTCCAAGGTCTGTAAATGAATCATAAAAATGGCATCCCAACAACTCCTATGAGCGCTAAATTAAATTCTTAAGCCAAACAGAACCAAATTCCAAAAGAAACCAACACAATCGCTCACCCACTTGAGCATGTTCTTGGACACCATATTACCAAGAAGGTTTCTATAAAGGATTAATATATTTGGCCCCAAAAAAATGGTTTTCTTTTCTATTTATCTTTCCTAATATATTCTCTATTGGTGAGATGAGCTTTAAAAAAGTATCAGGCTTATTCCTTATATCTCCCCGAAAAACCAAGCAAATTGTGTCATCCATATAATTCATACTTTTCAATATATGATTTACAGTGTTTGACCACTTACTAGAGCAAACAAAATTCAATACAAGAGCCTTGAATTATGCCGTTTGTAGGCAACAAGAACCATCAAATTATTTAAGAAGGTAAGCTGATAATCTTTGACTACATTTGGAAAACAGAAAGATAGTATTTAGAGACAGTCAGATACTTGTGTTAAAAGATGAAAGTAACAAAAATACCTTATTTGCTGGCCGGTTGCCGAGGCCAAATTTATTAGCAGGTTTTCCATCAGGTATCTTGTAGTCTCTGAACCAATCCCTAATTGCGGTAAGGGTGCCCTGAAGACAACTCCCGGATTAATCATCAATAAAAATTGCTAATTAAGCCACCAAACCCTTTTCCCTGTCATTGGGGGCATAAAAATTTTGTGTGCTAGCATCAAGTTTATTCTGGAGGTATCTATTGTTCAAGTGATGTCATTTGACTAAAAAGTTATGCAATAATAGTTGACTGGCACAACTAAAACACGCGCGCGTGCAGACACAGAGACACAGACAGACAGCCAGAGAGCATGTCTACAAGAAAACAAAAACTAAGTTCAAAATTAGAGTCCGTCATTTGAAAAGCACATTATTAAGCTTGTCTCCCAGCAATAGAGATGGAGCCCTTCCAACGAAGAATACAACAGACTTCAACCTACACACTATGAACTATTTATTCCTTCTTAAAAATCTGCTCAGTTAAAGATCTTAATTGTTTTTTATTTCTAGTCTTTCACAGTGTCTTTTTATTGGCTTTCCTTTTGCCCTACTCCCTCCCTCTGTATGTGTTTTTCCTCTCTCTGATGCCACATTTGCCCTAGTTGTGTTCAGGTATTGAAATGAAAGTTAGCTGTGTAAAATCCGTGCTTCCTTTCGTTAAGCATGAACTTGGAACTGCATTTCCAATTATCCACAGTGAAGGCTTACCAAGTCAGGCTGGGGTGGTGACAGATGAAGCATACTACCAGAACCTAGGTATCAACCAATCAAGCTACATAAATAAATTAGTAAATCATATGAAAAGAAAAAAAGAAAAAGAAAAATCAGAGCTCTCCATGTAGAATTCTTTTTTCTAATCTGTCTAGAGGATTTATTCTTTTTCAAGACTTTCTATTCATATTTTTCTACATTCCAAAACACACACACAGAGGGACATGATGTAATGAAGAGAGTACTATAACTCCATCAGATAGTAGTAGAGAGGAAAGGAAGGACATTAAACAATGCTATGCTACAATAGCAAAAACAAAATGGCAGAGAAGACAATCTAGTGAGGTAAGAGAACTTACTGGAAAATGCTTTTCAACATCGTCAACATCATTCACGAGTGAAGCCATTGGATCATCCAATGAAATTGCAACTATTTTCCAATCAAGTTCTCCTTCATCAATCATTGCTAAAGCAGCAAGGGTTTCACCCTGAGAACCTCTCCTATTTTCCTCCGGCTTTCACCAATCTCAACCACATCAACTA